TGTTTAATAAACAGTATTGGGAAAACTGGCTAGCCATGTGCAGAAAGCAGAAACTGGACCCCTTCCTGACATCTTACACTAAAATTAACTCCAGATACATTAAATACTTAAACATAAGACCTAACACCATAAAAACCCTAGAAGAAAACCTAGGAAAAACCATCCAGGACATAGGCATAGGCAAGGACTTCATGACTAAAACACCAAAAGCAGTGGTAACAAAAGCCAAAATAGACAAATGGGACCTAGTTAAACTCCAGAGTTTCTATACAGCAAAAGAAACAATCATTAGAGTGAACTGGCAGCCAACAGAATGGGAAAAAATTTTGCAATCTACCAATCTGACAAAGGGCTAATATTCAGAATCTACAAGGAACTAAAACAGATTTACAAGAAAAAAAACAAACTTACCCATTCAAAAGAGGGCAAAGGATATGAACAGTCACTTTTCAAAAGAAGAGATTTATGAGGCCAACATATAAAAAAATGCTCATCATCACTGATTATTAGAGAAATGCAAATCAAAACCACATTGAGATACCACCTCATGCCAGTTAGAATGGCGATTATTAAAAAGTCTGGAGACTAACAGATGCTGGAGAGGATGTGGAGAAATAGGAACACTTTTACACTGCTGGTGGGAGTGTAAACTAGTTCAACCATTGTGGAAGACAGTGTGGTGCTTCCTCAAGGACCTAGAAATAGAAATTCCATTTGACCCAGCAATCCCAGTACTGGGTATATATCCGAAGGATTATAAATCATTCTATTATAAAAACACATGCACACATATGTTCATAGTAGCACTGTTTACAATAGCAAAGACCTGGAACCAACTCAAATGCCCATTGACAATAAACTGGACAAGGAAAATGTGGCACATATACACCATGGAATATTATGCAGCCATAAAAAATGATGAGTTTGTGTCCTTTGTAGGGACATAGATGAATCTGGAAGCCATAATTCTCAGCAAACTGACAGAAGAACAGAAAATCAAACACCACATGTTCTCACTCCTAGGAGGGTGTTGAACAATGAGAACATATGGACACAGAAAGAGGAGCATCACACAGTGGGGTCTGTTGGGGGGAGTCAAGGGAGGAACAGTGGGGGGATGGGGAGGTCAGGGAGGGATAACATCAGGAGAAATGCCAAATGTAGGTGACGGGGGGATGGTGGCAGCAAACCACATTGCCATGTGTGTACCTATGCAACAATCCTGCATGATCTGCACATTTAACCCAGAACCTAAAGTACAATTTAAAAAAAATCAGTTTACTACATGTGTAGGGTTTATTTCTGGATTTTCTATACTGTTTCATTGATCTGTGACCACAATGTCTGATTATTGTAGCTTTATGAGTTTTGAGATGAGGTAGGATAAGTCCTTTAACTTTGTTTTTCTTGTCCAGTTGTTTTGGGCAAAAAATTCCCTTATACATTATAGAATTACCTGTCAAGTTTTACAAAAAAATACGATTTTGAGATACGATTTTGAGTTGAATCTATAAAGGTGAGATTCAATGTCTTAATATTATCAATACCTAAGCATTGTATATCCTTTTGCTTATCAGAATCTTTCATTTTCTTCCAATGCTTTCTTATAGTTTAGTATAGAGATTCTGAACATCTTCAGTGGGGCTTATTTCTAGGAATCTAATGTATTTTGATGCTACTGTAAACGATACCTTTTAAAATTTTCAGATTAACTTGCTCATATATAAACCTTGCAAAATTCACTTATCAATGCAAATAGGTTTCTGTAGATATTTTTTAATTTCCTACATGCATAATTATGTCATCTGTAAATAATGACAATTTTATTTCTTCCTCTGACTTCTCTTTCTTGCCTTCCTGCACTGGTTAGGCTCTCGAGTATCACTTGAGTAAAAATAGCAAGAGCAGGTGTCCTCATCACATTACTAATCTCAGGGGGAAAGCGTAAAGGCAGAATAATAGTTCCCAAAGATGTCTCTATCTGGGAAAACAAAAAGTCACAGTTGGAATTAAGGTTGTATATTCTAGATTATCTGTGAGGGCCCAATGTAATCATAAAGGCCCTTAAAAGTGTAAGAGGAAGGCAAAAGAGTACATTTAAGGGCAATGCAATAAGGATTCAACCCACTGCCTCTGACTTGGAAGATGGAGGAGGAGAAAGAGCCAGGGAAGGTGAGAGGCCTCAAGAAGCTGGAAAGGGGGAGAAAACAGATTCTCCCTGAAGGCCTCCAAAAAGGAATGCAGTCCTACTGGCACCTTAATTTTAGCTCAATGAAACCTGCATCAAGACGTCTATCTATGGACTGTAAGATAATCCATCTGTGTTGTTTTGAGCCAGTAAGTTTGTTGTAACATATTAAAGCAGCAATAGAGAATGAACACCCAAAGCTTCAGATTCTTCAACACTAAGTACAATGTTGGCTTTTGGGTGGTTGTGGAATCGTCTATTTGCTCATGTTCCTTCTAGTTGACTTATTTTGTAGATATGGGGGTCTTCCTATGTTGCTCAGGCTGGTCTTAAACTCCTGGGCTCAAGGGATTCTTCTGCCTTGGCTTCCCAAAGTGCTGAGATTACAGGTGTGAGCCACCACACCTGGTCTTATTGTTAGAGACAGAGTCTCACTCTGTTGCCTGGGCTGAAGTGCAGTGGTGTGATCACAGCTCACTGCAGCCTCAAACTTCCGAGCTCAAGTGATCCTCCTGCCTCAGCCTCTTTAGTAGCTGGGACTATGCTCATGCACAACCACTCCTAGGTAATTTTTACACTTTATTTGTAGAGATGGGGGCTTGCCATGTTGCCCAGGCTGTTCTCCAACTCCTGACCTCAAGGGAACCTTGTACCTTGGCCTCACGAAGTGCTGAAGTTACAGGCATGAACTACCATGCCCGATCAGTTTTTCCAGTATTTGTTGTTCTTTCTTTGCTTCCATGGCTTCTTAAATTCCTTCAGCATGTTTTAAAACATTAGATTACTGTTTCCTCTGCTTTAGAGATACGTTTCTGGGATATCTTCATTTTCTGTGGTATGTTATGCAGATTGTAAACCTCTTTCTTTTCTTAGGACATATTTTAAGATGGTCTTACATCTTGTAAGATGTTTAAATCAGATGGGTTTTCCTGTATATTTCCTCCTGTATTTTTAGAAGATTCCTGTGTAGGAGGTAAGGGTGGGACAGGGCAGTTTCTGAGCTTCATGGCCCTAGGGCTTTGTTATCTGTTGTTACCACAGAGTATTAGGGAGACAGTTTTGTGTGTTGCTACCAATTCTGTCTCAATTGGTTCTCTCTTCTCTCATTATCTGAACCCCTCTCCTTTACCCCTGGGGTCCTTCCCTTGTCAGTGTGTTCTATTCCCAGTAGTTTTTCTCAATATGGCCCCATGCCCACTCACTGGCTGTTTTTGAGAACTATGAAGACTAGATTGCTTTAGCACCCTCATACCTTTCTGCAGGCCCTTTCATTAGCTATGAGGTGAATGGTGGGCAGCCTTCTCCTAATTTTGATTGTGGTTTTTGGTTCTGCCAATTGAAATTCCCACTGCTATTGGGATTCTTCTTCTGGGGGCTGAGAACATGGTGGCAAATTCTCGGTTCTTTGGTTCTTAGGACCATCACAAATCCCCCTTCCCTTCTCTCTGCTTGATCCTCTAAAGCTGCTATTACCACGTAATCTTGTTGGTATTGATTTTATCATTTTTAAGAGATGAGGTCTCACTACGTTGCTCAGACTAGTCACAAACTCCTGAGCTCAAGGGGATCCTCCGTTTCGGCCCCCCAAAATGCTGGGATTACGGGCATGAGCTGCTGTGCCTGGCTAAGTATTGATGGTTTTAACCCAAACGATTCATATTCTGGAATTCAAAAAGATAATCTTTCACCCAGCTTTAGTGAAGAAATGTCAGGGTTGGTTTTTGAATTTGTATTTAAAACTGATTGGTATTTTTCTATTCACATCCTAATGTCAGGGATAGGACAGCCTAAGCTATAGTAGTAATTAAAAGTGTAGTGACTCAACACAGCACTTCTTTCTTGCCCATGTCACAGTCCAGTGCAGTCAGGAGGTTCTCCTGGTAGCTTTCCCCAGCAGTGCCTCCTGTGCCCTGGCTGCTTCCATTTTGCAAATTCTTTGCTCATAGCCAAGTGGAAAGATAAGAGAGTGGTCAATCATGACAGTTTTCCTGCCAGGCCTGGAAGCTGCATATATCAGTCACAAGGCCCCAAACTAATTGCGTGAGAGATCTGGAAACACAGCACAGTACTAAGAATCTCTGCCACAACTCTGCACAGTTGCCCAAGCAAGTTGGTGAAAGAAGGTAGACTATAACACCTAGGATGCTGCCTGTTCTTCAAACAGCTGTACAAGGATTTAAGATGTAATCTGATCAAAGAACATGGCACCATCGTTTTTAAAAAAGGTTTTAATTCCATATAGTACAGTACTTCAACTTTTTTTTTTTTTTTCTTGAGACAGAGTCTCACTCTGTCACCCAGGCTGGAAGGCAGTGGTGGGATTTCAGCTGACTGCAACCTCCGCCCTCCCAGGTTCAAGCAATTCCATACCTCAGCCTCCTGAGTAGCTGGGATTATAGGTGTGTGTCACCATGCCTGATTAATTTTTGTATTTTTATTAGAGATGGGGTTTTACCATGTTGGCCAGGCTCATCTCGAACTCCCGACCTCAGGTGATCCACCTGACTCAGCTGTCTAAAGTACTTCAAATTTTTGAAAAGTTTTGTGAGTCAAATTTCTTCAAGTATGAAAAGTCTATATTTCCACAAAAAGTCTTCAATTGCTGATAAATTTGGGGATATAAGGTGGCATATTTAATTAAGCAAAATTAAAATGTCTCCAATTATAAAGTTTTCAGTTAAATATCTTTTGGAATTATAAAGAATTAAACCATACCCTGAATATATAAAGAAAATGGTAGTTTGGCATCATTTATAGTAAATGTGTTCACAAACATTCTAAATATTCAAAATACATACAGAAGAACATAATCTTAAGACAATGATTTTTATTACTTATAGTCTACCATGTTTAACACTATAAATATACTTATTGAAAAAAACCACAATATTTAAATAAGAATTCAGTTCATGAAAGTTTACAAAATACAACCAATGTACTCTCACTTGTGATTGTATCTTAACTATCCCAACTTTACTTTTCTGGTATGGTCAGACTTTTCATGAGTATTTCCAGAGTATTTTAATTTTATGATATAAAACAGTAACAATTTATTAAGTTTTCCATTATAAAAATTAATATGGCAATTCTCAAAATACTGAAAAAACTGTTTATGAAAGCAGTACCTACATGACTGCAACTTATTTCCTTTCTCTTAGAAAACATCTTCAAAAGGCACATTTTAATTACTAGTGTTTATCTAAAGATAGTAGTCTGAGTTTTGAATTTCCAGTAACTTTTCCATTATCTCAAAATCGAGCTAATGGAGGGTTGGAAGAGGTCAGAGAACCCAGGTTTCCAGTGAACACCCTCAAGGTAAGGCAGCAGAATCCTCATTCATCTCATCCACGAAGACCAAAAGAAAGATGTAGCGGCTGGGCACGGTGGCTCACGCCTATAATCCTAGCACTTTGGGAGGCCGAGGCGGGTGGATCATGAGGTCAAGAGATCGAGACCATCCTGGTCAACAAGGTGAAACCCCGTCTCTACTAAAAATACAAAAAATTAGCTGGGCATGGTGGCGCGTGCCTGTAGTCCCAGCTACTCGGGAGGCTGAGGCAGGAGAATTGCTTGAACCCAGGAGGCGGAGGTTGTGGTGAGCCGAGATCGCGCCATTGCACTCCAGCCTGGGTAACAAGAGCAAAACTCCATCTCAAAAAAAAAAAAAGAAAAAAAGAAAGATGTAATGGAAGAGGGAATGGCAGATTTGTTTTGCATCCTAATTTAACCTTCAGGAAATACCTTCTACACAAAATACTTCATTAAAACCAAAACAAACACAAGACAGTAAGCTCAGAAAACAAAAGGCCAAGACCACAAATTGCCTGGTTAAGCCTGAGTGATGAGATTGGTTTTAAGCTTCAAGAAAATGAAACTTCTGCTTCTGTAAAATCACACCTTCATCAGTTCAATTTAAATCACTTACTGCATTAACAATGTTACAAATTTCAAGAATGTCAGACATACTGATGATATTCAAAACAAAGTACAAAAATAAATTTCAAAATCAAATATAAATAACTTTATGATTATCTGCCATGCTCCCCTTTAATTTGACCCTACAGTCTACAGTGGACTATAATTATAATAACATCTGCAACTTCAAGTACAATAGTACAATAATAATAATTATTATTTTGAAGAACTTATGACCTAGGACCCCAAAATGCAATCCAATATATAGTTCGGAGTATGGCTTACTCCAGCAAGTTTAATACTAACTGAAGTACTAAATTGAACAAGGCCAGTACTCTGAACTATTAATCTCAAGTACTTGATCTCATGTAAGAAACAAAAGGGAATTTTTACGGCAATTTTGGCTTCTAAAATATTGGGGATCTACCTTAACTTTCTATTATTCCCCTCAAGTCTCAATTGAGTGTTTCCATTTTTTTTTTTTTTTAGATTTTTCTCCTCACTACAACAAAGTAATTCACCAAAGATACTCTGAAGTACAAAAACCAGAATGGTCCTCTATTACTTAGTCAACATAGGATTTTCTGGTCCCTAATCACAGTCACTTTAGGAGTACTTACTCAAATTCTAAAATAGCAGCTTTTAAAATTAAGGCAACATTGCTTTATTCTTACCTGTTTTTCTATTAGCTAAGTATTTTATTAAAGTTCATAAGAGCAATTTCAGACTTGGGCATCCTCAAAGGCCTTTGCAAGGTAAGAAGAGTTAACATGAACATTCTTCTCAATATTAAGTTATTGTGTTCTACTTGGAATTCTAGAGCAATTACAGTCATTCCAGCACGTGTAAAATTACCTTTTAAACTAACAACAATATAAAATACAAGTTTTCTACAAAAATGCAATATAGGAGATACAGCACTTCTTCCCTGAAACAGAAATTTAATATTTGGACAAAAAACTGTAAACTTTTGGTTACATCTAAAATATAACCTTTTAAAGACTTAAATTATTTGAGGTTTTAGCAACTGGAGTTCCTAATAACAACACAATAATTCTAAACAGTTTGTTTATCTTACTCTTACATTTACTACCAGGAGGAAAAAAATGGCTTCCTGCAATGGAAAGTCTGAGTAAAGGAATTGCTCAGGTGGACAATCCGACCCTGACTTCCACCTTGACTGCGTTCCACAATCACACAAGGCATCTGTACTAGCTGGAAAGGACTTTTCCCGTCTCTCAATGCTTGAGTAAGATTTAAGATCTGTAGGAAGAAGAGAAATTTTCACCAATTTATAAAGATAAAAAGCTTTACTTCACTGACATTTTTTAAACCATTTATTCATTATAATTTTTATTTTATCCATTTATGAACAACAGAGACTGTGATGATGAGTACTTGCTATATATATGACTGTATGTATGTTTATACACACACACACACACACACACACACACACACACACAATTAGCATTAAGTAACTTTTGCCAGAAGCTAAGTTTAAAATATTCTAGAATGTGCCTATGTCCAGGAGCAATGGAATCAAAGAATAAGTGAAGAGGTCCACATACATATTCAATTTGACATTAAACCTCAATAAATATTGGTTTAAACAGTCTGGTTTCTAAATACTTGCCTTATCCATTCATTCGACAATTTTGTTGCATGCCTACTATGTGTGAGGTTCTGCTCTAAGTGCTAGGGGTACAATGGTTAAAAAAAACAAGCAAAATTGCTGCCTTTATAGAGCTTATACTTTAGCAGGGTGAGGAGTCAATAAACATAAATATGTAAATTAAACCATGTATTAGAAGGTGAAATTGCTATGGGAAAGCATGAAGCACGGTAAACAGGTTAGATAATCTGAGAAAGTAGCCTTTCAAATAAAGGTGCATTTAAGAGTTTACTCTTAATAGGAAAAATAAAATTAGGGAAAGTAAAATACATTACATATCATGTTCAAAGATGCTCTGAGAATTTCTACTTGAGCATACAAATAAGGTTGTGAAACGCAATACATACATTAGAGCTTATTCCATTCTCTGTTCCAGTAAAATAAAATTATAGCAATTCATTTTCTTTTCTCCCTGTATATTAGGAAGATTTCCTTTATTGTATATTTTAGGAATTTTAATATATATATCTTCTGCATTTCACTGGTTCTTGTAAAGACAAGTCAATAGTGATAAGCATAAACATTTCAACATCAAGTCATACTAATAAATAAACTTCATAATACTTTAAATAGTATAAACTACACGATTTATTTATTTATTGTAGAGATAGGGTCTTGCTATGTTGCCAGGGCTGATCTTGAGATCCTGGGCTCATGCGATCTTCCCACCTCGGCCTCTTAAAGTGCTGGGATTACAGGCAGGAGCCACCACACCTGGCCAAACTAGCTGGCTTTAGTTTGTAGAATATTTGGAGTATTTACCACATCAGGAAAACAGATCTTTACTAGTAACAGTGTTATAGATTATATTTATGTTTTAAGATCACTTTTAAGTTCTTCCTTTAAATTTTTTTTTTTTTTAAGACAGGGTCTTGCTCTGTCAGCCAGGCTGGAGTGCAATGCGTGACCACAGTTCACTGCAGCCTCCATCTCGTGGACTCAAGCAATCCTCCCACCCCAGACTCCAGAGTAGCTGGGACTACAGGCACATGCCACCTCAGCTAATTTTTGTTCTTTTTGTAGAGACAGGGTTTCGCCTTGTTGCCCAGACTGGTCTTGAACTTGTAGACCGGAGAGATCCACCCACCTCAGCCTCCCAAAGTGCTGGGATTACAGGCATGAGCCATCACACTCAGCCTCCCCTTAAAATTTTCTAAATTGGCTATATCTGGATAACAAGGAAAAAAGAATTCATGAAAATTGAGTATATTATAAGCATTGCTCCTACCATGAAAATAAAAGTGTGCACCAGCACGGTTACGGAAGGAGATGTTTTGGTTAGTTTCTTCCTTGGGTTTTAAAAATTCTATTGCAAAATGTTAGTCTAAACATATCAATTTAAGTAACATCTAGTATTTTCCTGACTCTAAGAACAATATGTGACTCTTGCAGAGAACATGGAAAACAGAAACCCTGGCCACATGTGGTGATTCACGCCCATAATCCCAGCACTTTGGGAGGCCAAGGTAGGTGAATCACTGGAGACCAGCAGTTTAAGACCAGCCTGACCAACATGGTGAAACCCCATCTCTACAAAAATATACAAAAAATAAAAATCAGTCAGGTGTGGTGGCACACCCCTGTACTCCCTGCTCTCCGGGAGGCTGAGGCATGAGGATCACTTGAACCTGGTGGCAGAGGTTGCAATGAGCTGAGATTGTACCACTGCATTCCAGCCTGGGTGACAGAGGAAAACTCTGTCTTAAAAAAAAAAGTATAGGAAAACGAAAGTAGCTCTACAAATTATCAATTTTCAAATCGTTACATAATTTGCAAAAATTAAATCCTGAAATTAACCTGTTAATATTTCTCCGGGAATTCAGAAGACACTTGATAATCCTGCATTTATTTACTAAGGAAACACTTACTGAGCACTCACTGTGTTGGGGAGAAGGGACCAAACGAGGGAAAAGCCAGGTAAGTCCCTTAAAGAACTCAAATTCTAGAAGCAGCCACATAAACAAATAATTGCAATACAGTGTGATGAACACTCTAACTACAAAGGACCTCTGCCCTGACTTTAAAATCTGATTCCCTCCCTCACATACCACCTATTTTTTCATTTCTCAAACAATAACAAATCTATTACTATAAGTTTAAAATCAGAGAGGATTATTTAAAAAAAAAGAATGGAACAAATTCTGCTGGCCAGGGGAGACACTAGATTTTTCCACCCATACCATATTGACAGCTTGATAGGGATGTGATGGCTGTGGTCCAGGCAGATGGTATCAACCTGTGGGCTTCTACATGTCGACTTTGCTTTCCTTTAGATTAGTTTGCTGTTCTTAAATTCCAGTGGGCCTGAGAATTACTGCACTACATACATCAAACCACATATATTCTACTTTACTACAGATTTTAAGCTATCTTTCGATAGCAAGGTACCCCATATGCTGATTTAAAAACTAAATTTCTGAGTAAAATGTGACACCAGCATATTCCCAGAGAGTGCTGCAAAAATCAGAACAACTCCCTGTTGGCAGGAGGATTTTAGGAAGACTGACATGGAGGTTGAAAGAAAAACTTCTCTAGATGAAGAGGGACAGGCATCGAGGATGGAGAATTGCATGCAAAAGGGCACCACTGGGAAAGGGGAAGGAAGGGCAATTCCGATTTGCCATGCCCAGGGGAAGGGGCACAATGGCAAGAAATAAAGACAGAGGCACTGTTTGGAGCCCGACTGTGAAGGGTGTTGTCAACTGTGCTGAAAGCCTGGACTTGAGCCTGTATGTATGGACAAATCATAGGAGTTTGAAATAACAGAAGACATGCTCAGATTTGTTTTTAGAGATTGTTCTTGTTTCAGTGTGGAAGAGGAATGGGAGAAGAGGTGAGGTCAACTTAGAATGTCAATAAATCCAGAGAAGAGATGATAAGGGCCCCAGGCAGAAACAGTGCCTAATTGTTGCCAGTGGGCCAGGCTAGCAGTCCCCCTTATTTCACAGACACATGTTACTAAAGACCTTTGAGCCAAACTGATTCCACCTCAAATGTAAACTACTCTGTGGAGGTGTTGTGAGGATAAACAATAATAAGCATCATCAAAGTATCCAGGAAGGAGTCAAGTACCAGGAGGCACTAAAAGGTTAGTTTCACTTTCTTTAACAAGTATTATTAAATCTGTAAATGAGATTCTGGTATATAAATCACTGCATATAAGTTCACTGTATTTTCAGAAAAAGTTTTAGTTATTATTTCTGCATTTTTTTCAGTTCACATTTCTTATATATTGTGAGTTTCAGTGTTTCAACTTAGAATATAACATGAATTTTACCCTGATCATGACCTATTGCTATTTAAGATACAATTCAAAACATGGTTTATCTTTAACTTTCAGAAACATTACTACCAGCTCTGATGTTTTTTTTAAAAAAAACCCTTCATATTTGTTTCAGTCCACATCTTTATGTGAAGAATGAGAGCATGTCATTGATTACATGTGTAAAATTAAAGGCTTACTACAAACTAGGGCAAAAGGCTTGGTTGTAGAAAGCATAATCCATTAAGTTAATAAGCAAAACTGGAAGGGAAAGGGATTTAAATTATATTTATAAATGACGAAAATAACACAAGTATTTTGACTCAAGGAATTTGCTGAAGTAACTATTCTGTCTTTTGAATATAGGTGACTGCTATTTGTTTGTTAAGCCTCATTTCATGAGTGCTGATTTACTTTAGAATACAGAATAATTTTTTTTTTTTCTTTTTAGAGACAAGGTCTTGCTCCGTTGCTCAGGCTGGAGTGTAATGGTGCAATCATAGCTCATTACAACCTTGAACTCCTGGGCTCAAGCCATCCTCCTACTTTGGCCTCCCAAAGTGGGATTACAGGCATGAGCAACCACGCCTGGCCGAATACCTGATTTATTTAGAACTTCGTTTTTTTTTTCTTAAGAGATGAGGTCTTGATCTGTTGCCCAGGCTGCAGTGTAGTGGCTACACACAGGTGTCATCACGGTGTACTACAGCCTCTAACTCTTCAGCTTAAACAATCCTCCTGCCTCAGCCTCCCAAGCAGCTCGGACTGCAGCCATGAGCTACCACACGTGGCCTTTGACCAACTTTTTTAAAAAAGCAAAAAACAGTCAAAACCAGAGAGCTACATAATCATGTACATGGTCAGGGCATATTATCTTTTTGGCTATCAGAAAGCTCAAAATCAAATTAAAATTAAAAACCAAAAAAAAAAAAGAAAAGAAAAAAGAAAACAAGTAATAACCAAAGTATCATCATTTCATTTCTTTCTCTCCTAAGATCCTGACCCCGTCATATTAATATTTTATTACATTCACTTCTATAATACCTTATTCTTTTGTGCATGAGATAGGATATGAGTAAATAAACCTAAAACAGAAGACAACCACAGATACTTCTTTGTAACAGACCTTAGAACTGGAACATTCCCACACTTTCTTAGATGAGCTTTTTTTTCTTTTTTTTTTTGAGACAGGGTCTTGCTGTGCTGCCCTGGCTGGTGTGCAGTGGTGCAAACTCAGCTCACTGCAACCTCCACTTCTGGGCTCAAATCATCCTCCTGCCTCAGCCTCCCAGCAGCTGGAACTACCTGCCACCACGCCTAGTTAATTTTTGTATTTTTTTGTAGAGATGGGGTTTCACCATGTTGCCCAGGCTGATCTTGAACTCTTGAGCTCAAGCAGTCTGCCCTCCTCTGCCTCTCAAAGCACTGGAATTACAGGGAGGAGCCACTGTACCCAGATGGGCTTTAAAAAAAAATTTAAATTTAAATCCACAGGTGCTAACTTTAAAACACAATTAAAGCTTACAAAATTATTTACAGCTTTTATTTACCTCTTTATTTTAAATCAGATTCCTAAAATAAAAATAAACCTTTAGGAATAAGAAAGTTCGAGAAGATAAAACATATTGATATGTCAAGTCAAATTGTTTCAGGCAAAAAGGTCAAATCAAGGCATAATTACCTTTGCTTAAAAATTTAGCTCAAATAAGTTTTGGGATGGCAAAACGTTGCGACATAATTACAATCACTGATCACTGAATCCTTTCATTATGGCCTGAATTACCAGAAAAAGCCTCATAGTGAAGCTCCTTGGCTGTCATCTCCTCATCTACCGAGCAAAGCTGCACCCCACTGTCCAGCCCAGCCCTCTGCAGTAGTCCTTAACCTTTTGGGCGGACATAAATGTTTTTGCTGAGATGTAAATCCAATCTTCTCCCACACTCAGAAGGTACATATTAACAAAATTTTACACATAATTTCAAGGAGTTCATAGAAGAAACCCAGAATAAGATCTCATTTTCAAAAATGTCTGTCTTATCACAGCCCTTCTTTGATGCCTAATTTCTAACTGCTCCAATCCCTTCCTTGTGGAATGTATGCTCTGGTGTTTAAGGCCCTCTATACTCTGGCTCCATCCTATTTCTCCAGGCTTTGCTTACTACTTAAAACGCACGACTGAGCAAAGCAGTGCATACATGTGATGGAGCAGAGAGATGCACGAGTTAATCACGACCTGTCCCTTTTCACCAAGCCCTGGCCTCCTCTGCAGAGCAACACTCCATGAGAGCAGAAACTTGGTTTTGCTTACTGCTTTATCTCCAGCACTAGTTCTTTCAATAAATATTTGGTGAATGAATGAGTCTCTGACTTAATTATATATACATGTTAAAGTTATATAATATAATAATCAGTGCAAAAACTTGATCCATCTTCTTTGCTACAGATATTGTGGCAAACCTACCTTAAATTAAATGTATATTTTATGAAGAGAATGTTAATTTATAGGACACTAACAGACAATGTTTACAGTATAATTTATTTCTGTTTCAAGCTTTCCTTTCGGAATACAAATACTATTCACAAAGTCCAAGAAGCAGAAGTTATCTGAGAGTGAGCCCAGCCTGCAGCCCCACATCAGCAGACTTCATGCCTTGCACTTCTAATCTTTAACTAAAGGTGAGGAGGAGGTGGGTCAGAGAGAGGACTGAGTTACAATTAGTTTTTTCATGTCACAATTGACACTCAATCTTGGTGACATGGTTATTTACTGACTGCTCTAGCAAAGGCCAAACAGGTTCTGCAAAAATAATCATCATCATCATCATCATCATCATCATCTATTGGCAACAGAACGTGGTACAGAAATATCTAAGTGAGTGGATCTGAGGAAGAAAAAGGTAGTGTTACCCAAGAAAATAGCTATCAGAATGAGGACAAACAATTCACAGCAGGGGAAACAATGGGCTCAATAAACAGTATAGAACAAGGTCAGAAATACCTAATTTATAAGATAATAGAGGGAAGAAACTATTTCAATCAACTTCATTTCTTCTTTTTTTTTTTTTTGAGATGGAGTTTCACTCTTGTTACCCAGGCTGGAGTGCAATGGTGTGATCTCGGCTCAATGCAACCTCCACCTTCTGAGCTCAAGTGATTCTCCTGCCTCAGCCTCCCAAGTAGCTGGGATTATAGGTGGCTGCCACCATGCCCAGCTAATTTTTTTTTTTTTTGTAGTTTTAGTAGAGATGGGGTTTCACCATGTTGGCCAAGCTGGTCTCAAACTCCCGACCTCAGATGATCTGCCTGCCTTGGCCTCCCAAAGTGCTGGGATTACAGACATGAACCACCATTCCCGGCTGAATCAACTTCATTTCTTATCATCTGAGCTATTTTGGTGCAGCTTAAGAAATAGTATTAAAAATTCCGTCTCTAGGTCACAGTGGTGAAAACAGTTGACTACCGTTTCAAAGAGATTTTTTTCATTATGAACAAATAAAAAGGTAACTTACCTGACCCCTCATCACAGACATCTGACTTTCAAAAGTGGCTTTGTCAAATCCTTTGTCAGTCTATCACAGCAAGAAAAAAACATTATAATTGCCAAAATAAAGACTTCAATATACATATTTGAAAACAAATGAACTCTTCAACCCAGCAAATAAGGCCATTAAAAAGTTTTCCTAATTGATAGAATAAAACAAAAAGGGTATTTGTACCTGAGGTATTTTTGTATACTCCCAGAATGACACAATTAGACTTATTTACTTGTACTCCAACTTGTTCCAGAAAGGATTTAAGATGACTTTCCAGCCAATGAATTTAGGCTTTTTAAGAGAACTAAATCACAGCAAGTCACCAAATATGTATTAGAATTTATAGTTTTCTTGTAAAAATTCAACTTTTGAATAAAATAGCTAATAAAGTTTTAATGTAGTCTCACTTCAAAGAATGCTCATACTAAGTACAGCTTTATGAATTCGTGCTCCTGGAAAGTAAGACTGCTAATTCCTCTCTGTCACGTCAGGTTCTACGGCAAGCAGCAATACAAGAAGCAGTAAACTGCAAATTAGATCTATCAAGCAAAGTCTCTTCTATTTTAAGATTTCATTTTTTTTTTTTTACAATAATCAAACTAAGCATTAACTTACCTTAAAAAGTTCATAGAGATCTTCACATAAATCTTGCACAAAGTTCATGTCGGAAATATATGGTAGAATCAAGTTTCTTATTTCTTCAGAAAAAGGAACTTTTGCTTGAGGAAGCCAAGCCCAGTGAAATGGATCTAACAGAGAAAAGCATTCTCCTAATCAGTGGGAGGAAACGGTTTATTTAGACTCACATTTATCCTGGTTCTTTCCTACAACTTCTAGGTTCTCCCCCCCAAAAAAAGACAGGAGAAAGAACTTAATCAGAGTAAAACTACCCATTGCAATCCAAATTACTCAGATTTGGACAGCCAATTCAGATAGTAAACTAGTAATGTCTCTGAGTTTTAGAGAGTAAAGAGTAAGAGTCTGGATAATGAATCTACTTCAAATAGCTCTAAATAGCTCTATGTCAAAAATCTATCTGGTTCCTGAGTTCAGAAACTGATGAATAGCTATACTTCATACACAGCCTTGTATTTTTTTTATTATATATATTACTCTGTCACCCAGGCTGGAGTACAATGGTAAGATCTTGGTTCATTGAAATCTCCATCTCCCAAATTCAAGCGATTCTCCTGCTTCAGCCTCCCAAGTAGCTGGGATTACAGACACGTGGCACCATGCCTGGCTAATTTTTGTATTTTTAGTAGAGATAGGGTTTCACCATGGTGGCCAGGCTGGTCTCAAACTCCTGACCTCAAGTGATCTACCCATCTCAGCCTCTCAAAGGGCTGAGATAATAGGCGTGAGCCACTGGCCTGGCCTTATTATATTTCTTTAAGAGATTGAGTCTTGCTGTGCCACCCAGGCTAGAGTGCAGTGGCATGATTATAGCTCACTGCAGCCTCGAACTTCTGGGCTCAAGGGATTCTCCCACATCAGCTTTAGAAGTAGTTGGAAATACAGGCGCGTATCACCACACTCAGGCACAGATTGAATACCATGGCTGAGGTCTCCCTGCTCTGCACAGCTACAAATCATCAGGAATGACCACTTAGAATGACCACTTACTTGTATACAGAAGGTGTTCTGAACTTTAAAATCATTAGGAGGTAAATAGGTGAGTCACTTTAAGAGATAAAGGATTCCATGACTCTGAGCTAACTCTAGTTGTCCCCCAAAAAGACCATTAAAATTTACACTGTGCCAGGACTAGAAAGATTTGTACAGGTATAATCTTCTAGAGAGGGTGCATATGCAGATTCCTACAAGAGTGGAAGTTTTTTGATGTTATGATCATCCACAGAGCTACTGTGAGCATATCCAATGAGAATCCCCAGCTTTGGTGGATCCTACCACTTTGAAAGCCCTGAAGAAGAAACCTGCCTTTGGAGTCATTCTTCCTCAGTCACCCAGGCTGGGGTTCAGTGGTGCAATCACAGTTCGCTATAGCCTCAATCTCCTGGGCTCAAGCAGTTCTCTCGCCTCGGCCTCCCATGTAGCTAGGACTACAGGAGCGCACCTCAACGCCTGGCTCTCACTGCTTGATCTATCTCACTGAACACAGTAGGAGGGTCACTTTTCATTCTAAAGAAAGCCTTTCCCCTAGCTCACATCTCTTTGTAGATATGTCCAATTTTCTTTTTAGTTTTCCCTGAATAATTTCATAGAAGGCCCTTATTTTTCACCTGCCTCTACATTTAATCCCTACACTCAACTTCTAGTACCACCATCTAAACTCCCTCTCCTAAGATCCCCAATCACCAGACCTAAGGGTCTGTCCAAAGGCTCCCTTGCAGTTGTCATGCTACTTAATCTCTCTGTAGCAAGTAGCACTGTCTTCTATCATCTCCTTTACAAAATTCTCTCCTCTGTGGCGTTGGAGATGCCACTCTACGTCTACTTTCTGTCTTGTAAGCTATCCTTCTCTTTTTTGCTAGTTTTCCCTCCCCTCTTTCAATGTTGTTGTTACCCCGATTCCATACTTAGTCCTTTCTATTCTCTATTTATTTAAGCATTCATAAAACATTTATTGAATACTTATGTGCCTGGCATTGTACTGGGAAATAGTGTTTGTTCTCTGTGATTTTCCTGGGTGATAGCAAACACTACCTTGGCTTCCACCAACAAGATGACAGTTTAAAAGCTATTTTCCCTCTCTCATATCCCAGGAATCCAAAAAAAGAAAAGAAAAAGAAAAGAAATAAAAACTATATGCCCACTACCAATTCCTTTTCAAGCCCCAACTTTCCTTTAATCCCCAACTGCATGTTTGATAAAATTTCCTAGATGTACCCTTTAAAAATGCAGTTTGCATAAAGGTTCCAAACCATTAGGAGGAAATAATAAAATGGAACAAAGACATTTCAGATCAGTTCAACAAAAGATAGGAATTCATGCTTAATAGGAAAAAAAATAAGACGGCAGGAAAAGCTTAAGCATATCAGTAGTTTGATGAGACTTAAACTACAAAGTACACCTATTAAAACACTCAGACTGGGTTAAAAAAACAGTGAAGTATTCTTCATAAGTCACATATCTAAAACAAAATGATAAAAGTTAAAAATAAAAGATTAGCTAAGTGTGATGGTGTGTGCCTGTAGTCTCCGCTACTCGAGAGGCTGAGGCAGGAAGACTGCTTGAGCCTAGGAGTTTGAGGCTGCAGTGAGCTATAATCATGCTACTGCAATCTACCCTAGGTGACAGAGGGGGGCATGCCATTCATTCATAAATTCATATATACATATATGCAGAGAATAATACCAGGTATATGCTAACAAAATGAAAGGAGGTATAACAATGCTACAGAATGCCAAATAAGAAAAGCAAAAACCACTGAGGTATACATAAAGTGGGATATATTTCACATTAAAAAAAAAAAAGACACCAGGAAGATAAACCACTAGACCTCTACATATGTTAAATACAAAGCAAAAATTGCATAGAAATGGAAGAAGAAACTGACAAAATCACAATCACAGTGATCACTAATTTCCTCTGAAAATGAACAGATTAAATAGAAAATAACTCAAAGATATGATATGACCAGCAGCCTTTAGGTTAGCAGACAGAATTTTGTGCTCAAACATTCTTTTCAAATACAGTCCTCGAAATAGGCCATATACAGGATCATAGAGAATGGCTAACAAATTTCAAAACAGAATTTATACAGGCCATACTCACAAATCACAAAGAATAATACTAGAAAATAACAATGAACAGTTTCTTAGAAATAGCAATAATGGACAGTTAAAATAAACTGACATAGACATTTTAAGATCAAACAAAATACTTCTAAATTATTCCAGTCAAAAAGAAAATCAGAAAAGCACGTAAAGCAGAGCAATAGAGCAGCACCTGTGCCATCCATGGTTTAGCCAAAATGACATCCAGAGGACAGTATGAGGCCTAATATGGATTTACAGGAAAGCAATATAGCATGAACATAATAGAAGAAAAGAATAAACATAAATCTGTAAAAGAAAAAGCAAACTAACTAAAAGCCTGATTTATAAAATAAAAAGACAATTATCCGGGGACAAAATATAAATAATGAACTAAATGGAAGGACCAATGCTTAATAACAGACGAGTCTTTGGCAAGCCTAATGAGTAAAAGGTTCATTAATAAATAGGAGAAATTTAAAAAAGATGCATTATGGATACAATGATATTTTTAAAGTTTTATTTTATTTATTTTATTTTATTTTACTTTATTTTTGAGACAGGGCCTTAGTCTAGTGGTGTAATCTTGGCTCACTGTGACCTCCACCACCTCCCAGGCTCAAGCAATCCTCTCACCTCCGCCTCCCAAGTAGCTAAGCCTACAGGCATGGGCCACCATAACTAGCTCATTCTTGCATCTTTTGTAGAGATGGCGTTTCACCATGTTGCCCAGGCTGGTCTTGAACTCCTGAGCTCAAGGGATCTGCCAGCCTCAATCCCCAGAGTATTGGGACTACAGGCGTGAGCCACCATGCCTGGCCCATATATTTTAAACACATTCAAATATCAGAAAACTACTATAATAAACTCCCATATTAATTCAATTATTTTTTTCTTTGCAAAATTCGCTTTTTTTATTCCTCTGGCTCCACAATACCACAAGTATTTTAAGGCAAATTACAGGCATCATTTCATTTCACTCCCTAAATACTTAATATGCACAGAGGAAATTTTTTTTAATTATAAGAGAATTCTAATAAAATGCTACACCAATAAATTTAAAACTCAAGAAATTATGGACAATTTTAAGCAAAATAAAGGTGTCTAAAACTGGTTCAAGAAGATGCAGAAAATGTAATCATTTACCACAAGAGAGACTGGGAAGGAAATGAAAGTACTCACTAAAAATGAGGTCAGGTGGAGGGAGGCCTAAATTGTTTTAAAAGTTAATACAACCAAAAATTTAAAATATAGTTCTACCAAAATATTAAAATAATTTGAATGTATATAAATTTTGAAAACTGGAACACTACTAAACTCATTTTCCAAGGATAACACAAAGCCTAAAAATCAAAACCCAGTCATCCAAAAATAAGCAAATAATTCATAGCAAGACCCTGTAGTATATATGTGCATCCCTAATGCCTAGAACTACGCCTTAATGAATAATCATATTTCATCCAGTTTTTCTTCTGCTATAGTATCTGTAAATTTTTTTTCCCTTCTCATTCTGGAAAAATAGGTAATTATAGAATCTACAGAAGGTTCTAAATACTCACATGCTCTCCATTCATCAGGATGTTTAAAAGGAAATGCTAGACCATTATCAATTGCAGCTATTTTAATAAGGCATTCTTTATCATTGATCCATTTTGATTCCTGTAGAGGAGAAAAATGATACGTTGCTAAAAGAACCTTTATAAATATTCCCAAAAGAAAAATTATTTTTAATAATTATTGAGGTTTAAGAACATGTTCTCTCTGAAGAGCCTATAAAAATTAAATGTTACCAGAAAAAAATGCAAATTCACACAAGTATGGAAGACACTGTCTGAAAAAAGTATATTGCCTAATCACTATTTTTTAAAATTTGATATTATACATTTACTCAGTAATGGTTTCAATTTTTTTCGCTTTAAAGGGCTTGGAAATATTGAGACTTTAAAAAATGATGTTCTAGATAATTTACTGCTGGATTCATTGCTTAAATGTGTGATGCAAAATATTACTGATTTTTTTAAACACCTTAATAAAATCACCTTATTAATACCTAGTCTTTCTTAGGGTCCCAAAGAAATAAGTCAAATATAAAATGTTTCTAAATGAAACTCCTTCAAAGACCATAATTAAATATAATAAGATCTAGTAGAAAGAACCTCAAGATATTCTTGAATGTTGGTGATACTGTTTGGCTGTGTCCCTACTAAAAATCTCATCTTGAATTGTAATCCCTGTAATCCCCATGTGTCAAAGGTGGGACCAGGTAGAGGTAATCAGATCATGGGGACAGTTTCCTCCTTGCTGTTCTTGTGATAGTGAGGTCTCATGAGATTTGATGGTTTTATAAGCGTCTGGCATTTCCCCTGCTGGCACTCATTCTCCTGCCGTCCTGTGAAGAGGTGCCTTCTGCCATGATTATAAGTTTTCTGCTAATTTAAAAGCACTACAGCGAAGTCTGATGTGATGTATGCCAACTTTCTTTATTTTTTTTAGTTTATATCAAATGTCTTACACCTTAATGAAAGTACACAAAATACTCAGAGCAAAAGAATTCTCAGCAAAATCTAACTGCTCAAGATACACAAATAAAATAAATTCGGGAGCTTATGTTTATTTATTTATCTTTAATTATTTTATTTTATTTTTTTGAGACAGGGTCTTGCTCTGTCACCCAAGCTGGAGTGCAGAGGCACAATCACAACTCACTGCAGCCTTGACTTCCTGTGCTCAATCAATCCTCCCACCTCAGCCTCCCAAGTAGCTGGGACCACAGGTGTGTGCCACCATGCCCAGCTAATTTATTTCATTTTACTTTTTCTACTACCTTAAAGTCTTTTACCCCTAAATGATTCTTTTTTTGAGACAGAGTCTTGCTCTGTCAGCAGGCTGTAGTGCAATGGTGTGATCTCAGCTCACTGCAACCTCCGTCTCCTAGATTCAAGCAATTCTCCTGCCTCAGCCTCCCAAGCAGCTGGGATTACGGGTGCCCACCACCATGCCCAGCTAATTTTGTAGTTTTAGTAGAGACAGGGTTTCACCATGTTGACCAGGATGGTCTTGATCTCCTGACCTCGTGATCTGTCTGCCTTGGCCTTCCAAAGTGCTGGGATTACAGGCATGAGCCACCACATCTGGCCTAACTGATGCTTTAAAAAAATTATTTTTTTAATTCATTGTAGACATGGGGTTTCAAACTCTTGGGCTCAAGCAATCGTCTTACCTTGGTCTCCCAAAGTGCTGTGATTACAGGCATGAGCCACTGTGCCTGGCCTAGGAGCCTATACATACGTACATTTATGTGTGTATTTTAAACCCATTTCTGCTATAACCCCCATTTATTTTTATTTCTACCATTCTTTCCTATTTACAACTTTATTGGCATATAATTTACACACAATTAACTTCCTATATTAACAAATACGATTTGATGAGCCTTGACGTACGTAAAATTTTCAAAGTTTCCTTGTGTCCCTTTGCAGTTCAGCCTTCCCTCTGCCCCAAGCCCAGGCAATTACTGGTCTGTTTTCTGTCATGAGAAAGTAGTTTGCATTTTCTAATTTTTAGCTATAAATGTAATCATACAATATGTTTCCTTTATGTGTAACTTCTTTCACTCAGCATAATGTTAAGTTTTATCCATGCTATTGCATGTATCAAGTTTGTTTCTTTTTATTGCTAAGGACTATGAATATATATTTTTAAATATCCATGATAAACATTTAAAAGTACAAACTTTTAAAAATGATGCAACAGCTTTAAGTCATTACTTAAGAACATAAATTATAAATACTGAAGAAATATTTTTAATCACTTAAAATTTTCCCAAATGTACAAACTGTTTTAAACTTGTAAAAGTATTTTTAAAAAAAGTCTCTTAAGTACATATCTAAAATTTGAACTTGGTACTCAAAGTCAATAGCAATTAATCTAAAATCTGTAACTCTGATATCAGTGTTGAGGGTCTATGCAGTCTGTTATACATGTTAAAACCAGCTTCTTATAAGTAGTAGAAGTATTTAATACTTTTAAAGCTCAGTGGACATGATTCACAGGTTAAACACACGTTTCATTTATTAGGCAATATTGTATTGTCTAATACTGAATGAAAGGACTCAGAAGAAAGTGAATTAGTAAAATACAAACATAATGAACAAAATCCCAAAAGCCTTTACTACATAAAAGCAAAATAACTTTGAGGATTCTATAAATTTCTCAAATTCTAAAAAGGTACTAAGTGGGTATTATTTTTCTATTCTAATATGAAGTAAAAAATAAAGCTGCCCAACAACGATAAAAGAAAAAACAGAACTAGCTGGGTGTGGCGGCATACAACTGTAATCCCAGCACTTGGGGAGGCCGAGGCGGGTGGACTGCTTGAGGCCTGGAGTTGAAGACGAGCGTGGTCAACATGACAAAACCCTGTCTCTATTAAATAAATAAATGCAATGTAACCAAGTGACGAAAATAAAAAGTGTGAGAAAAACAGAGTAAGTAGATTTGAAAACCAAGGATTAAGTGAAAGAAGGAGGAAATGGTGAAGAATAACTTAACTTCAAGCAATCTTTTACAGAAATTGAATATATATATTCTCAAGTTACACATAATTATAGATATTATGTATATACATATACACCTATATATATATACACACACACACACACACACATAATTTTAAATTTCCTTACCTTATGGTCAATTTCCTTTTCGTATTTCTGCTTTTCGTATCTGACTAACCAGTTATCATTGCCCCTATCTTTCAAAACAAACAAGAAAATCCGTTACTTCATTTCTATGGACATCATGGTTTAATACCAATGAGAAACATCTAGTGCTCTCCTGATTTTTGAGACTTTCACTGGTTATCACAGCATATTAAAGGTCTCAATTTAAGACAGAGAAACTAAAAAAACAAAAACAAAAAAACCCATAAATGTGAGCTAACATTTATTGAATATTTTATCTAAGCTGACATTGTTATAAGTGCTTAGTATGTAATATTCACATAATCCTCAAAACTATCCTGTGAAGTGATACAATTATTAAATCAAGGTTATTAAAATCAAATAGCTTTTCTTCACTTTAGGAAGAAAAAGCATTAACCCCTATTGCTGGGCAAATTTCTAAGCAGGCTCACCTCATGCCAGCATAGAAGTGGTTTAGACTATACAAATATGTGTGTGTGTGTATATATATTCTTACTATATATATTCTTATAATATTCTTACCATATATATACACACACACACATATATACAGTAAGAAGGTAAATCTAGAAAATTATTTGATGCTTTTCCAAAAACTAATATAAATAAGAAAACACTTTGAACTGGTAGTCCTCAAACTTTAGAATGCATCAGAATTACCTGAAAGGTACCTTAAAACACAGCCTGCTAGCACCCACTTGCAGTTTCTGTTCCAAAGTTCTGGTGTGGTGTCTGAGAAGATGCATGTTTAACAAATTCTCATGCCATGCTGACCCTGACAGTCCAGGGACCCACATTATCCAAGCTGACCCCTGCTTTGGATAATGTACATCAAGCTTACCCAACCCTTGGCCTGAAGGCTGCAAGCTGCCCAGGATGGCTTTGAATGTGGCCCACAAAAATTAGTAAACTTTCTTAAAACATTATGAGATTTTTTTTTACAATTTTTTAAAGCTAACTGGCTGTTGTTAGAGTTAATGTATTTTATGTGTGGCCTACAATTCTTCTTCCAATGGCCCAGGGAAGTCAAAATATTGGACAACCCTGGTCTACATCATTGCTCCTTGACAGCACAGGAAAGTGTATTTATAGACTATACTAACAGTTACATAATGTAAAAATAAGCACCTAACGTAATTTATACAATGAAGCCTTAATTATTCACAATATGCAAATAACATTCCTAATATCTGACTTTGCCCTGTCCCTGGGAAACTCCTCCCTAAAGTACAGGAACTGATCTAGGAGCCTCCCACACAGGATTAATTCTGCCCAGGAGAGTCTATTCTCTATCTGTTTCCCAAGGCAGACAGAGGAAGTGGCTTCAAGACTTCTGCAACAAAAGTTTACTGCTTTAATTTGGATAACAAGAATATAGTTTGAAAGTGAACAAGACTTGAGTGAACAATGAGAGAACTTCAATACCTGTATTTCTGATGATGTAATCCAAAATAACTAATCTTTCAAATTGTGACTGAAATTGTTTTCTAATATTCTCAGGCAAAGGGTCAGCTTCAAATTTCCTAAGCCAATATTCAGCCTCCTTGTAACCTTCAACAAATAACTGAAAGGAACCAATCTACAATTTTAAGAACTATAGTTAGAAAAGAAAGTACAAGAACAAAGGGATTAATATTTCTATTTCTCAGCAGTACTGTCAAAAATATGTAAATACAATGCGAAAGAAGATTTAACACTAATTTAGATAAGCCACATTTATCAAGAAAACTATTTTTATACACTAATTTTAAATAATCACATGAAGAGTACATAGCAAATAAGAAATGCTTAACCCTAGACTTTCAAGGAGCATAGCAGCTATTTTGGAAGAATTTTAAAAAAGAATAGACATGTGCCTTCAAGGTTATATTCTGAAAAAGAAATGCCATTTTCTAAAAATATTTATTAAAATAAATTTAGTTACGGAGGTCAAATTTTAAACTTATCCTGCTTATTTAATAACAGTGCAATTTTGTTCTTATTGAAGAATCTTTCCCAGCTTCTTTTTATGACATAAAATACAGTAAATAATGTTTAAAAAAATTTTTTTCACTTTTTTAACTGTTAAGCTCTTTCTTTGAATTCTAAATAATTAATTTTATTTTTAAAACATGAGATGAAGCCAGGCATGGTGGCTCATACCTGTAATCCCAGCACTTTGGGAGGCTGCGGCAGGTGGATCACTTGAGGCCAGGAGTTCGAGACCAGCCTGGCCAAGATGGTGAAACCCCTTCTCTACTAAAAATACAAAAAATTAGCCATGAGTGGTGGTGCACACCTGTAGTCCCAGCTACTCAAATGGCTGAGGCAGGAAAATCACTTGAACCCAGGAGGCGGAGGTTGCAGTGAGCCAAGATGGCGCCATTGCATTCTAGCTTGGGCGACAGAGCGAGACTCTTTCTCAAAAAAAAAAAAAAAAAAAAGGACAAATTCCTTAACCACATAGTAAATACCCTGTCTTAAACTTTAAAGAACAAATCTACTAATCATAACCTTGATAGTGATTTTTAAAAAAGTCCTTTCCTTGAAGATATGACCTTTGAGAAAGTTGTTTCTGTTACTAAGATTACTAGTTAACAGTAAACAATTTGTTGGAGAAGGAAATACAAATTTAAGTAGCATGTGATACAGAGGTAATAGGTAACCCTAGTTTGCTTCAAAAATACAAACAAATCGCCACAAAGAAAATCTGCTTTTTTTTTTGAGACCGAGCTTCGCTGTTGTTACCCAGGCTGGAGTGCAATGGCGCGATCTCGGCTCACCGCAACCTCCGCCTCCTGGGTTCAGGCAATTCTCCTGCCTCAGCCTCCTGAGTAGCTGGGATTACAGGCATGTGCCACTGTGCCCAGCTAATTTTTTGTATTTTTAGTAGAGACAGGGTTTCACCATGTTGACCAGGATGGTCTCGATCTCTTGACCTTGTGATCCACCCGCCTTGGCCTCCCAAAGTGCTGGGATTACAGGCTTGAGCCACCACGCCTGGCCAGAAAATCTGCTTTTTATCCTAACACTTTATGCTTTTGTTGTTGGTATGAAAGTTTAACAATTTCCTAAAGGTGTTCTTTAAAATACTTATAACTAAGTACTAGTAGTCACAAATATGGAAATAACATCCTCCTTTATTCATACATATTTCAGCATGTCCAAGGAGGAGCAGGCCTTTAAAAACTTTCAAACTTCCTGCCGACTTAGAGTAAGATTTATCTTAAAAGTTAGGTTAATGATTAATTCCTACTCAAATTCTTATTATCTAGATAAATGTACAGAAGCAAGAAAATCATAAGACCAATATATTTCTAAAAAACAAATCTTAAAGCTTTTTCTAGAATGCCTTTCCCATTAACCCTTATTTAGCTGGCTGCTTATCATGCCTCAGATTTAAAGGTGATAAGAGAAACTAAATCTAATGTGTAGTAAATAAACATAGATGCCACCATTTACTTAACCTTTACTTTATACCAACTACTTGACATGGATTTCTTAGTTTTATCCTCACAACAACCTAAGAGGTAGTTTTTGTCATTCTCATTTTACTGAAACTGGGGCTTAGAGAGTAAGGAACTTGGCCAGGCACCGTGGCTAACACGTATAACCTCAGCATTTTGGGAGGCCAAGGTGAGAAGACTGATTCAGCCCAGGAATTAAAGACCAGGCTGGGCAACATGGTGAGACTCTCTCTCTTCAAAAAAATTATAAAACTAGCCAGGCATGGTGGTGTGCACCTGTGGTCCCAGCTACTCAGGAGGCTGAAGTAGGAAGATTATTTGAGCCCACGAGGTCGAGGCTGAAGTAAGCCCTTTTCACACCACAGTACTCCAGCCTGGGCAACAGAGCGAGATCCTCTATCCAAAAAAAAAAAAAAAAAAAAAAATGAGAAAGAGAGAGAAAGGAACTTGCCCAAAGCCTCAGAGCAAACTAGCAGAGGCTGGAATTAAGTCTGATTCCAGACCTGCGCTTTTGTCCATTACTTTATAAGCTTTCATGCAACCTCTGAAATGTTTCCCATCCCTCTAAACTGGGTTAGGCATACCTCTTCTATCATCTTAGAGCTCCCTGAACTTACCATCATCTAAACAGCCTTATCATACTATACTGAAATTACCTATTTACTATAAGCTCCTGGAAGATGAAAAATCTGTGCTATTATTATAACCACAGCTAACAGCACAATGCCTAGCTCCTAGAGCTCAGGATGTAGGAGCCCAATTGCCCCCTAAATAAAGCTTATCAGAGAAACTTACCTTAGGAGGGAGTCCTATCCTATGAAACTTTCTACCCACTTTTGGCACTTTTTCTAAAGCATACTTTTTGCCTCTTGATTTTGCACGGTCAATCGCATTGTAGTTAAATGTCTCACTGACAAGCCAAACCACCTAGAAACATATAGTTTAGAAAAATGGTTAGAATTTACATTATAGTATCTCTATTCATATACACCAGGAAACTCACTCTAGTAATGAAAATTAGCAAAGTTTAACCCTATAAGAAAGGCTCCGGAGAATCTAAAACAGAAAAGACAGGGAATTTTGCAAAGCTTTGTTAAATGAATGGCACATTATTTCTTCCTGAGAGTGGTATAAAAGCCTTTTAGAGGCCTAAAATTTGCCAGTGGTCAAAGTAACAACATTGAAACGCAGACTTAGGAATAAACGTTTTAAGGATGAAGGCGTCAAGTTAAAATTTAAAAAGGATGCTAGGTTGGCTGGGTGCAGTGGCTCATGCCTGTAATCCCAGCACTTTGGGAGGCCATGGCAGGTAGACTGCTTGAGCTCAGGAGTGAAACTAACCTGGGCAACATGAAGAAATTCCACCTCTACTAAAAAATACAAAAACTAGCTGGGTGTGGTGGTGCACACCTGTATTACCAGCTACTCAGGAGGCTGAGGTGGGAGGATCACCTGAGCCAGCAGGACGAGACTGCAGTGAGCCACAATTCATGATTGTATCACTGCACTCCAGCCTGGGTACCAGACCCTGTCTCAAAAAAAAAGAGAGAGAAAGAAAGAAAAGAAAGGATGTGGATGCCAGGCACATGATGGCATATGCCTGTTGTCCCAGCTACTCAGGATGCTGAGGTAGAAGGACTGCTTGAGCACAGGAATTCAAGGCCAGTATGGGCAACACAGCAAAACCCTGTCTCTTTAAAAAAAAAAGAAAAAAAAAAAAGAAAAAAATTTTTTATAAAGGCTGAAAGGACAACAATAGTAGTCTTAAAGCACATTGGTTCTCTGCCTTCAGTAGGATCTCTGGATCCCTGATGATTCTCTTTCTGTTAGCATCATCAGATCGCACGGGAACAAGACACATTCCCTTAAATACTTTGTGTGTCTACACTAGAATCAATTTACTAGTCACTCATGATGCTTGGACAACTATCAAAAAAGGGGCTCCACTTTAGGTTCTACCATTAGGAATCATGACTGAAATATTCAGATATAGGCAGGTTGTAAGTCAAAAGCCAAAGGTTAAAAACAAAGCCTTGTTTACCTTTGTTTTAGGTACGATACCCAGATGAAGCTTTTTGTCCACAAGATAGGCACCCGCTTCAGAAAGGTACCCCTGATTAGGAATCAGGCAGCCTCGGCCAAAGCAGCAAGGGCAGCAGACCTTATGGACATATTTGGTCCATTTTGGATTGAGTTGACCATAAGGCTCTTCTGATTTGGGTTTAAACACACCAGTAATTTTCTATAGCAAAAGAGTAATAATCTTATTAGACTTTTTATATGTATCGATAACCATCCATAAAATGCATTCTAATACATTGTTTTCTAATGTTTCCCACTGCAGATGTAGGCATAAATCCTCAAAATATTTAGAGGATTTATAAACCTCAAATATTAAGATTTAGTTCCAATCACATTTTCATATTCATTCTCAATCAACAATCTAAAATCAAGACCAGTAGTTTTCAAACTGTACTCTGACAAAGCCCTGGAAGGTGAAGGCAAGGCTCCAAGACCCCATGCCACTTAACAGATGAATTCTCATTTCCCCTGCTGGACTTCCATGTTAAGAAAGGGTTTCACTGATTTTTAAATGTTTGAAAACCACTATCCTAGGTCAAACAGTAGTATTATTCAATATCTATTAAATATCCACATTATATGTTTGCTGTTTACTTTCCCCACATTAATGCACATTCCAAAAATGCAGGGACTTTGTTAGGGCTGCATTTCCAGTACTCAGAAGAGTACCTGTTGCACAGTAGACATCCAAGTATTTGTTAAATTAACTAATCCAAGGACAAAAACCACCTCTAAAATACAAAGGTAATGATGAGATATAGTGACTATCCATGCTGTCAGATTCTCCTACCCTAATTTTTTTCCAGTTATTTTTCAGAAACCAATTTAAAGTAAACTCTTGGCCAGGTGAGGTGGCTCACGCCTATAATCCCAGCACTTTGGGAGGTGAGCAGATCACCGGAAGTCAGGAGTTTAAGACCAGCCTGGCCAACATGGGGCAATCCCATCTCTACTAAAAATACAAAAATTAGCTGAGGGTGGTAGGCATGCACTTGTAATCCCAGCCATTCAGGAGGCTGAGGCAGAAGAATCACTTGAATCTGGTAGGTGGAGGTTGCAGTGAGCTCAGATTGCGCCACTGCACTCCATTTTGGGGCAACAGAGTGAGAATCCATCTTAACAAATAAATACATTAACTAAAGTCTCTCCTATTAAAAAATATTTTTTGCTCATGAATGTCTAAAAGTCTCTACACTCTAATTGTTTGATACAATATATTCATATTAAATTTAGAAGCTGAATTATTCTTAGACAAGAACAAATCTTATAATTTCAAATATATAATTGCTTTATAACATAATAAATACAATGCAATAAGGGCTGAGTCACTGGTAAAAAAGTCAACAAGATCAAATTAAGAAATAAAGCTCAGAATAAAGATTGAGAGACTGGCAATACGTACAAATACATTTTAATCTAAAAAAAGGGACTGTGCTTTAAAATCATTTTAAACCTATAATAACTTCAGTCTTTGCCCAAAAAATGGGTGAAATTATAAACGTTCTTCCCCCCGAGAAAAGAACTGCTCCTTATGCATCATTCAGAAAGCTGTTAGAAAAAATAACGTATTTTTTAAAAATTCTAGATTAAATGGAACAAAGTGCCACATCAATTTCTCTTTTCTGGTCTAGAATCATCCTGTGGTTCATTTCACTTTCACATTCCAATACTTTCAAACTTCAGATGGCTGAGCCTTCTTCCCCTGGTAATATGCCAGAAAAGGTATTCATATACCTTTGAAAAAAAATCAAGTATGTTGGAAATGACATTAAACAAGTTTTGAAGGTTTAAACTTCCACTGTGTTTGACCAATAAGGCAGTAGATGTCTATAAGATAAGGACTTGTGAATATACACACTCAATAAGGCTACAGCTGAATATATATATTCAATAAATGCTTGAAACCAAATATAAAATAACAGAATCCCAAACTGTGACTTGAAATGATTAGCTCTGTTTCCAAATACTAGAGTGCTTTACTAAAAGTAAAAAACTGAGGCCAATCACAGTGGCTCACATCTGTAATCTCAGTACTGCAGGAGGATCGCTTGAGCCCAGGAGTTCAAGACCAGCCAGGGCAATACAGGGAGACCCGTCTCTACAAATAATTAAAAACGTTAGCCCAGTATGGTGGCACGCACCTGTGATCCCACCTAGTTGGGAGGCTAAGATGGGAGGATTACCTGAGCCAAGAAGGTCATGGCTACAGTGAACTATGATTGCACCACTGTACTCCAGCCTGGGTGAGAGAGAGAGAGACAGAGACCCTGTCTCAAAAAAAAAAAAAAAAAAAAACTATAAAAACTGACATTTACTTTGTAAAAGAGGTTACAATCACATTTAATAGGGAAATATCTTTAGAAACTCACAATGATTTCATATTTAAACTCGTATATACCGAAGTTTCTATTACACATAGTAGGTCTGTGAAATTCTCACCCTCTTGGGATCCTTCACAAAGTAACTTCCACTTGAACCTTGAGAGATTCTTTCTGGAAAAATTCCAACTTCTATTGCTTGCTCTGCTCTCAATATAATCTCAGCAAATTCTGGGTCATCCAAGTATGCATTCATTTCTGAAGTACCAGTAGTTACTGCATTAAGAAGAAAGACCAGCTATGAGAATGCTCATGATATGGACCTGTAATGTGGATTAGGTTGCTGGCATTAGGATATAAGGTACATAAAATGTAATCAAGGTTTGTATAGACTGCTCTAATCATCCTTCCTCCCCACTGCCTAACAACCCCCACTTCTCTTAAACTCCCAAATAATAACATGGGGCAGGGGCTAGGCACAGTGGCTCACACCTGTAATCCCAGCACTTTGGGAGGCAGAGGCAGGTGGATCACCTGAGGTCAGGAGTTCAAGACCAGCCTGGCCAACATAGCGAAACACCGTCTCTACTAAAAATACAAAAAATTAGCCAGGCTTGGTGGTGCACGCTTGTAATTCCAGCTACTGGAAAGACTGAGGCAGGAGAATCGCTTGAACCTGCGAGGTGGAGGTTGCAGTGAGCAAAGATGGCACCACTGCACTCCAGCCTGGGCAACGAGAGTGAGACACCATCTAAAAATAATAAAAACCTGGGGGGAAAGTTCACTGTTTTTTGAAATAATACTAATACCTCTCATTTCTTTGAACTTCTCTCCTGCTATAATTCTAATTCCCCAGTTATACCTCGGATCTTGTCAATACCAATAACTGCAACCTCACCACACTTTCAATTTCGAGCGCCTCCTATCTTCCCAGTTCAGTCCCTCTAGCGCTCCAGGTCCAAATGTTCTGCCCTACTAGAAACTAGGACTGCTCCATCATGTCACTGGACTTCATCTCCTTCATTGTCCTTGCTTTTGTCTTCCTTGGCCAGCTTAAATTATGGCAGGTCATCACAGAATCACTCTTTCTTCCTCCCTTCATCATGGTCACCTGCAAAACTCCCTGTCCTAGTTAAACCCAACTGTCTGCCGATTCCAAGGCCTGCAACGGGACAGTGGAATTAAAGAAATGCACACAAGCTAATTCCTCTCCTAAAATTCCCAACACCTCCTCTCCCATCCTCTCTCTCAGGAGAGGATCTAGCTTCTTACTTCATTAAGAAACAAGAAGGCTAGCCGTAGTGGCTCATGCCTGTAATCCCAGCACTTTGGGAGGCCAAGGAGGGCAGATCATGAGGTCAAGGTATCGAGGCCATCCTGGCCAACATGGTGAAGTCCTGTCTCTACAAAAATACAAAAATTAGTTGGGTTTGGTGGCGGGCACCTTGTAATCGAAGCTACTAGGGAGGCTGGGCAGGAGAATCACCTGAACCCCAGAGGCAGAGGCTGCAGTGAGCCAAGATCACCCCACTGCACTCCAGCCTAGTGAAAGAGTGAGACTGTCTCAAAAAAGAAAAAAAGAAAGAAAAAAATAAGCAATCACAAAAACTCTGACTAGCCCTGGCACTGCATTTATCTACCCACTACTTAACTTTGGAATGGCCCAGTTTCAGCTCATGGTCCTCTTCTCTCCATTACCAACACTGATGACTCCCAGATTTGTAACTCAAGCCTGGACTTCTGCCCTAAGTCTCTACTTCAACATCTCTACTTGGATGCTTAACAGATATCTCAAACTTTACTACCCAAAACTCCACACCTCACCTTTACTATACCTTCCAAAGGCTTCATCCCTATGTTTCCCTATTGCTGGCACCTCCAAATCTTCTAGTTACTTAGGCCAAAAACCTTATAATCATCCATGATCTCACACTCTCACCCTCTACATCCAATCAGCAAGCCATATTGGTTCTACCTTAAATAAATACCCAGAATCCAACCACCTCTTGCCACCTCCATTCCTTCCACATGATTCAGGTTACTATCAGCTCTCACCTCGATTATTCTAAGAGCCTCCTAAGTGGTCTCCCTCTCTCAACCCATGGCCTCTCTATACCTAACAGAGAAGCTAGTAATCCTTTTTCTCTGTAACTTTTAAGTTGAGAGGTACAAGTTCAGGTTACATAGGTAAACTTGTGTCTTGGGGGGTTGTTGTACAGATTATTTCATCACCCAGGTATTAAACTGATAAGAACACGTACTACACTTGATCTTAGCCAAAAGAGCGAGAAGCCAATCACCCAGGTATTAAGCCTAGTACCCATTAGTTACATTCCTGACCCTCTCTCTCCTCCTACCCTCCACCTTCTGAAAGGCATTGTACGTTGTTCCCCTCTATGTGTCCATGCATTCTCATCATTTAGTTCCCACTTATTAGTGAGAACATGTGATATTTGGTTTTCTGTTCCTGTGTTACTTTGCTAAGGAAAATGGCCTCCTGCTCCATTCATGTACTTGCAAAGAACATAATCTCGTTCTTTCTTATGGCTCTGAAAACATTTCATGTCACTCTTTTGGACCAAGCAGCCCAATTATTTCCCATCTCACAATTAGTCCAAGTCCTTATGCCCCCCAAGACCCTGACCCAATCTCTAACTTCCACTTTGTTTTTCCGTTTAGCACTTATCACCTCATCTGTGTATTTATTTTGGATGCTCCAGAAACTCAGGAAACACCAAGACAAGGATTTCACGGCTGTATCCCCAGAACTTACACAGTTCCTAGAACATAAAAGCACTTAATAAACACTTGCTGGATGAATTAATAACTAATCATTTAAGGTGGCAGACAAATCAAAGGCTATTCACATTTTAATTTAGAAGTCATTTCAATGGTATACGTGTTAAGAATATTCAAGATCAATGATCCACTTTCTTTAATTTAAAATTTATCTTAATTCAGACAGAAATAAAACCATTATTTATTACTTTCTAAAAAGTTGTGCTAAGAGGTTGGGCATGTAATCCCAGCACTTTGGAAGACCTAGGCGGGAGGATCACAAGAGCCCAGGAGTTCATGACCAGTCTAAGCAACACAGCAAGAACTTGTCTCTAGTCTAAAAAAAGTTCCATTTATAATTTAAAAATTAAATCACTATTTAAAGTTTGTGATAAGAAAAATACTATAAAAAAGGCTAGTGGGTATATTTAACCCATTCAAAGGAATAAAAATCCAAGTATTTTAGCCATGTCTACAGTTGATAAATTTTTCAAATCATTTTATCTTTTCCTTGAAAATACTTAAGAATGAAGGGAGGAACTCTGTCTTTCTTGTTTACTTGGAAGAGGGATCAATATTTACTGGGCACTAACATTTATTTGAGAAAATGAATGTGCCAGTAATCATTATCATTAGTGGTTGCCAAGGACATGCATAGGTAAACTTGTGTCTTGGGGGTTTGTTGTACAGATTATTTCATCACCCAGGTATTATACTGATAAGAAGAGATACTGTACTTGATCATAGCCAAAAGACCAAGAAGTAATCACCCAGGTATTAAGCCTAGTACCCATTAGTTATTTTTCCTTATCCTCTCCCTCCTCCTAATCCCCACCTTCTGAAAGGCCCTAGGTATTTCCTCTAGGTCAGGGTTTCATAGGTTCTTAAAAAAAATGAACTTGAAGTTATTTATTTCAACCTTGCTCAGGTCTCCTGCAGTTTTACTCTCTGTCTTGGACTTACCATTTAGAGCAAAACAAATCTACTTATTCCTTTATTCCCAGTAATAAGCCCTCCAAAAAGTTGAAGATCAATTCATGTTCCTTTAAATCTTCTCTGTTCTCCACCTCCTTTCATATGGGAGTTTTTTCAGGTTTTCAGCATCCTAGTTGCCCTCCCATTTCACGCCGCAGTATTTCAATGTGCCTCCTTAAAACAGGATTGCTGAAACCACATAAACCACTGCAGAGAATAGGGATACCTCCCGGTCTTGACACTATTTCAAAATAAGAAGCCCTGTAATAAAGCATTAGTTATTTAGGAGTCCTGTCATACTACTAATTAATATGGAAAGGGCCAAACTCTTAGACCACTCTTGGTCTCTTCAATCTGTACTTGAGTTCTTTTGGACACAACGTGCAGACCTTGACATTATTACTATTAAATGTTGCCAAATTGGTTTATGGGTTATGTTTTATCAGTTCATCATAGACTCTGCCTTTGTTGCTCTCATTGAGCCCACAGTCATCCTCAGAATACTTAATAATTCAGTTTCAACCAAAATCAGATTAATCAGAAACATTCCTGTGAAAAAAGCCAGGATCTTCTCATTTCCTTCTCTTTGTTTCTGCCCTGTTGAGCACCTCTTTTGGATAAATGGGATAATATCTTCCCCACAGTAAAATGGGCATTGTTATTTGAAAATGGCCTAGATTTACCACCAAAATCTAGAAAGGCACTTTAAAAATAGCTGGTCCTACTAATTTCTGTCCAAAAAAAAGGTCACATATAAACTATTCTAAATTCAAAGAAACTCATTTTTAGTAGATGATAATTTTTCCTTAACTGATTCGTAACTGACAATTACATTCTGTGATCTTTTTTTAAAAAAATTTGATACAGGGTCTCACTGTCACCCAGGCTGGAGTGCAGTGGCATGATCACAGCTTACTACAGCCCCAATCTCTCAGTTCAAGGAATCTTCCCACCTCAGCTCCTGAGTAACCAGGATCACAAGTGTGCATCACAATGCCCAATTTTTTAAAGTTTTTTGTAGAGACAGTGCCTCACTAGGTTGCCCAGACTGATCTCAAACTCCTGGGCTCAGGTGATCCTCCCACTTCAGCCTCCCAAAGTGTTAGGATTGCAGGCAGAAGCCACAGCTCCTGGCCTTCATTCTAATTACTTAAATGTATGTTGGTAATAAGTTCACCTTGAAGCACCCTCCCCAAGGCATCAGGCATTCCACTGCTTCAAGCTGGATGGGCTGTGGATGATCTGGTCTGAAGGTTTGTTCTCATTTGGTTTTTTAGTAGCTGAGAGCATGATTAGCTACATTTTCTTTCTTTTTTTTTTTTTTTTTTCAATTAAAATTATTGTTACCCCTTTAAGGAATAAAGTATGGATACTCAAATTCATGTTCTGAGGAGAATCTCAATTTTACCTCTATGTACCCCCCTTTGGGTGACCTCTAAGAAGAGGTGGTGACCTTCTAGTCAAGGCCCAGTCCTGTTCAAGCTCCGAGCTTTTTGCATGTGTGCAGCTCACCCTCTGAACTT